TGATATTTGTTGGTATAGTTACTCATGAATTTGTGAAGGTTAAAATAACACCGATATTTGTTGGTATAGTTACTCATGAACTGATGAAGGTTAAAATAACATCGATACTTATTGGTATGGTTACCATTGAACTGATGAAGGTTAAAGTAGCTGATAACTGTGTGTGTGTGTAGCGATAATGTAAACCTACAAAACAGAATGGGAGCGATGGTTAACTCTCTGGTAGAGCTTTGGATTTCGAAGCTAACGAGCCGATATCACAAAATATTCGCTGTACTTTAAGCCGTTTCTACGTTATAAGAGTGACAGTCAATCCCTTAACAGGGATGGTGGGTGGCAGGGTGTTGCTGACAGTTTACCTTCCCTCTGGATAGAAGTTCAAAATCTGTGATAGTGGTTGTGCTATAAATATAAAACAAAACCTATTATAATTTCTTAACTTGTTACATCCAACACAACGTTTCAATAGTCAACCTGTTTGCATCCGAAACCAACATGTAAGAACGTTTCTCAACTGATTTTAGCTTCATAAAGTGCTCGTTTTATTTGAATGGTGTAATGAGAATCTTACGTTGTTCGTGGTAAATAATAAACCACCATATTTTATCCATACGCTTGGAACGTTTGGAATTTGTTGCTTTAAATAGCGATTCCTAATTATAGTCATTAATAGTGAACGTATAATAGAATACAAATCTTAAATATCAATATGATTTCAAATACTTTGTAAGAGGTTAATAGATACAAGATGATCAAGTTAATACTGAACTTGTTAAGAAAAAAAATGGGAACTTTAAAGAATGCTAAAGCTCCTGAGCCAGATAATATTTTCCCAAGAGTTTTGAAAGAGGTTAAGGATTGGATTTTTAAGCTAATTGAATAGAGGGAAGATGTCAGAAGATTTAAGGTTGTCTAATGTATCTCTTCTTTTTCCGGGGAAATGGTAAAAAAGTGTTCCGATAATTATAGGCATATTAGTCTTACATAAGTGGTGAGAAAAGGTTTTGAAAGTCTCATAAAAGATGATTTGTATAGTAATTTTCAAAAGTTTAACGTTTTATTGGTAAGTTAGCATAGTTTTACTAGGGGGAAGATGTTGCCTTATTAATATTTTGAAATTCTTTGGAAAGATTACTTCTTATGTAGATGATGGTACAGGTGTGATTTGGTTGTACCTAGATTTTCAGAAAGCATTCGACAAGGTGTTACATAAAAGGCATTTCTGTGGAGGGGAATTGATTGGTTTATTAGATAGACAACTGACTAGATGAAAGAAGGTTGCTTTAAACAGAGTTCGGTCACATTGGATTAATGTCACAAGTGGGGTACCTCAGAGTTGAGTCTTAGACCCCCCCCCGATCTTTTTGATTTACACCGATAACAGAGATGAAGTAATGGTCGATAAATTTAATGATGATATCAAGATGTTGCTAGCTGTGAAGAAGATTCTACTGCTTTACAAAAGGATTTGAATGATTTGTTAAGTTGGGAGAATAATAGGGCACATTGGCTTTTAATTATAATAAATGCAAGGTAACGCATACTGGATACCATAATTTGAATTATATGTATAATTTTGATGGGAATAACTTTAACAGTGTTATTGAAAAAATAATCTCGATGTTCTGGTTGATTAGTCTGTTAAGCCACACCCGGAAATGTGTTGTTGCTTGTGGTAGGACAAGTAGGATTTTCGGTTGTATCTACAGAAATATTGAATACATATCTAAAGCGGTTATAATAGCATTGTACAGGTCACTGGTTAGGCCACATTTGGATTATTGTATTCAATCTTAGATGCCTTACGTTAGGAAGGACATTGAATTGTTGAAAAAGGTTCAGAGGAGTAGTTAGTAGGATGATATCTGGAAAGGAAAAGTTATCATTTGAGGACAGGTTAAGATTTCTGAAATTTTCTCTTGAAAAAAGAAAAGGTAGAGAGCCTCTGATTGAAGTGTTTCGGGTTGTAAAGGGAATTGATAGTGTTGATGCATCATTATTTTTGTACTTAATGTACTTTGGCTGGGAGGAGTCAGATATGGTTAATTTAAGTAAGTTTAAAGGAAGACTTGATAAATATTTGACCGATAAGAGCTGACTGTGAATTTTTAAATTTTTATTCTAAAGTTTAGTTTAGTGTAATGGACGGCCAAGATGGACCAACATGTTCTTGTTGTACTTATATAAGTTGCTTGTATCCTAGTAAAAGAACTATACTATGTCCTAGTAAAAGAACCATACTGTATCCTAGTGAAAGGACCATACTGTATCCTAGTGACAGAACCAAACTGTATCCTAGTGAAAGAACTATACTGTATCCTAGTGAAAGAACCACACTGTATCCTAGTGAAAGAACCACGCTGTATCCTAGTGAAAGAACTATACTGTATCCTAGTGAAAGAACTATACTGTATTCTAGTGAAAGAACCATACTGTATCCTAGTGAAAGAACCATGCTGTATCCTAGTGAAATAACCATACTGTATCCTAGTGAAAGAACTATACTGTATCCTAGTGTCCTAGTGAAAGAACCATACTGTTCTCGATTTTTGAATGAATTTCGTTCAGTTTAATTGCTTTGTACTCTCGTTCCATGTACACAGTTACTAACTACGTTTTAATTCTTAGATTTTGGTTGTTACAGAAATATAAAGTGTTTTGTTAACTCTACCAATCTTCTTATTGTTACAGAACGTTAACTCGACACAAATACACGTATTGACAATTATCTTTTTTTTAAATAGCCTTACTTCATTATTGTCACCAACATCTTGTGAAGTTAATCATTATCAAGTACTCAATTCTCCCACAGGTGTTTGTTCTAAGGAAATCGGCTACACACAGAATACCATCACGTGACGTCCGATTTTACATTTGCAGCTTGTCCACGGACACCATAGTGTACAAGGTATGTCCGAATAGATATTCACTCTTCGATTAAATTAAAATGTAATATTTAATTAAAATAATGAGACAGACATTGTACAGGGATTATCGTGTCTGGAATGGGAACCCGAAGGTTCATGGTTCGCTTCTCACTTTGTGACTGTGGATACTTTTTATAACATTGACAATCAATTAAGAGTAGCTCAAGAGTTGGCGGTGGGTGATGCTAACTTCCTTCCTTCCTTCTAGTCTATTAGTTCAAATTGAGAATTAGGGACGGCTATACGTAGATAGCCCTTCGCGTAGCTTTGCACGAAAATTCTAAGTATCACATTGAAATATTAATCTTTAAACTGCTTTTAGAGCTTTTTTATGTTTGTTATTCCATTCAGAAACACCGAGCTTCCAAACAGCTGAATTACCACATTATTACTGTATAACAAATTAGGAATTAGGCTTAGCGAGTATTAAGCCTACATCTGAACTATTAATCCAGTAACCACAATGTGACTTACTTACTTTGTGGACGAAAGCCTAAATTTCAGAATTAAGTTGAAATTCACTAAATTTAAAGTTATCTTCTAAATATGACGTTATTTTTTTTAGGGCCAGCTGACTTCTGGACAGCTATGGGAATACTACAAGGACTTACAAGATCGTAGGTTCAAAACTTACTTGGCTTTAGTTCACTCCAGGTTTTCGACGAATACTTTTCCAAGCTGGGAAAGAGCACACCCTTTAAGGCAAGACTTTAATAAGGAAAGATTTCAAAACGATAAAGTCTATAGTTTTTAAAGAACAACCAGGACAGCACAAAGTATTGAATGTTTAGACTAAAGTAAAAACAAATTTTTATTCTCGAGTGCAAATATTTTCTGAGATTTCAAAATGAAGTTATAAAGCTTCTAATACTTGGAAATGAGGACAAAGAAAGAACCTGTAACTTCGTTGTTGATAATTTCTTTTTTATTGTTTCTTTTACTCATGGTTAGCGTCCTCGGACTGTGAATCTGAGAATTAATGGTTCGTACCCCGTCCGCACTTTGGGGCAATGGGTGCACAATAAGAGTGACAGTTAAACCTCACTGTTCATTCAGAAAAGAGTAGCCAAAGAAATGGCGGTGGGTGCTTTGATTAGCTACCTTTCCTCTAGTTTATCAGTTCAAATTAAGGACGAATTTTTTGCTCATATAGCCTTTTGTGTAGCTTTGCGCGAAAATTGAGAATAACGAAAAACGTTTTACTCAAGAAGGGGTGATAATGTGTGAGAAAATACAGCACTGGATTGGATTAATTATTCTTGGGGTTATGTGTCAAGTAGGAATGTATTGTTTTAAATTCTGCCTTTTCACAGATAACCGAAAGATTTCAAACGTGGTGCTAGGTAACGCCAAAGAGCAAGTCCATCTAAAGATATACTAATTGTCGCCACAGAACAAATCGGTCGAGGGGGTCAGTAGCTGTCATTACAAAGTAAGCAAATCAGTAGAAGATGCCTGTAGTTGTTGCCAAACAAGTCAGTCGAAAGTGGGAGTGAAAGATAATAGAGAAAAAATTCACACGTCTGAATAAAAACGCTTTTTAGTTTTTGTCAGATAGTACAGACCGTGTTACTTTAAAAGTAGACTCAGGAAGAACCGTTAAAGAATTAGAATAAATAGAGCTTCTAATTAAGCACGTTGAACGAGGAGCGCGATAATAAAAATATTGTTTATTCTATTACAAGTTACAGTTTTTACAGTCAAAAAGTATACTTTAAAACAGGTACAACCTTTCGATCACTGGTGCGATCATTCTCAAATACACAAGTTTTAACAACAGAGAAGGTTTTAGTATTTAAATCCTAAATTTAAAAGTAAAACCTTCTTTAGCGTTAAAAGTTGTGTGCTTGAAAATGATCGCACCAGTGATTGAAACGTTGTACCTGTTTTAAAGTATACTGTAACCTGTAATAAAACAATACTTTTCATCAGCAAGTAAACTCAAAACGAAACTATTAAAAATATTGTTTAACAAATACATTATTGACATTTTTTCGTAAAGTGTGTTCAAATGAGCAAGAAAATGTAAAAAACTTATTAATTTTTTTTCTGTGTTTATATATAGAAACCCAAATTTCAGTTGCTATAATTAGTTTTTTTTACACTTTCTTGCATATGTTTTTAATGTTCTTTACTGAAAAAACTCAACAATTGTTTTATCAAACAATATTTTGTTACAGTGCTCCACGTTAAACGTGCGTAATTAGAACCTTTATATATTTTAGCCTTTCAACGATGCTTTTCGAGCCTCATACATACATTCTGTGCTGACTGCCAGACGAAGGACGTCTCCACGAAACGTTGAACAAATTAAAACTGGAAAAAGTTTTGATTTAAACGTATTAATTTTCCTTTATTATCTTTTATCCACGTTTTTAACTTCACAGTTATTCAAGAAGTTATTCGAGTCGTTATTGATCGAGAGCAGTTCTGAGAACTTACGATTGAAAGTAAAGGAGAACATGTCAAGCATATCCAGTGACGTATACACATAATGCTATGCGAGGTATGAACAGAATTAAATCAACGATTTATATAATTATTGTACTTTACCGAAAACTTTGTGTAAAATTAAATAAGCTTGTTTGTTTGTAGTTAAGCACAAAGCTACACAATGGGCTATCTGTACTCTATCCATCGCGGGTATCGAAACCCGATTTCTAGCGGTATAAGCCTACAAAAATACCCCTGTGCTACTGGGGGACATTTTAAAATAATGTGTTATAATAAATCATATCGTTCTTTCTTACTCTAGAGGATCTGGTCTAGGATTCTTCATGACAGCTGTAAATAACGTAAAGAAATCTTCGTTAACATGCCAGTTAACTCGCGAAATTTATTAATTAATCTGAAGAAAATTAAGCTAATTAATCGAATAACTTGCGAGTGACTGAAATTCCGTTTGATGATGAAAAACTTAATTTTTTCACTCGTACAGTTGAGTTTTATGTATAGTAACTGTTGTAGTTTATAAACATAGACGTACAGTACGTGACCTGCGGTAATTCACACAGATTTTTAGTCGTTCCCGTTGGTAAAGTTCTCGTTATGTTATATTTGTTACGTGTTCGGTCTAGTGTTCTATTACGATAGATTGAACTTGCGTGAACCACGTTGTCATTCTTTTCTTAACCGTATGTTCAACTCAAGGTTTGATAGTGGAATACAGCGTGTGAGAAGATTTGATTGGTTGTTTGTTGTTAAAAGTGAAGGTGCTCTGTACACCTTCCGAGAACGAGCCCCGATTTATAAGCCCACAAGCTTGCCGCTGTGTCATCTGAGGTCACAAGATTTTACCACTGTAATTTTAAAACGTTAATAAGGTGTTTGATAGGCTGGTTCAGAGATTATATTGTTGATACGAGTGTTTGATAGGCTGGTTCAGAGATTATATTGTTGATACGAGTGTTTGATTGGCTGGGTCAGATATTTTATTGTTGATACGAGTGTTTGATAGGCTGGTTCAGAGATTAATATTGTTGATACGAGTGTTTGATAGGCTGGTTCAGAGATTATATTGTTGATACAAAGATGTTTAATTCAAACCTCAAATATAACCATACTCTGTTCTGGATTTACGTCTTTAAAATCATCTCATTTTCTGGTTTTAGTATAATTAACTTTTCTAAAACCCTTTGTCGTCGTTGCTTTGAAGAGCCAATAGTTGAGTATTTCATTTCTTTTTAGGAGTAAATAAAATTCTTTTTTACATATTAATGAGTTTTAAAGGTCAAATGTCACCTTGCATGTTACATCAAGGGTTAAAAATGCAACAAATGTAACAAAGTTAATTCGTTTGTTTCAAAATAATCAAACTTTAATCTGTTTGATTAATTTGTTTTTCACCTGGTGACAACTGGCTCATTCATCTTGAAATAATGGCTTTCTCATTACCATGATAAATTCTTTTTCTCGGGCCAGTGAAACGTGATTTGAATGCCTTCGTTTTGTAGTTTTTTTCTGTTACGTTTCATCAGATATTTTGTAACCAAGACCGCAGTATCTTTATTTGTTTGAAAATAAACGGATAGCGGCTCATTTGATGCAAGCTTTGACTATAAACGTAGGAGCGACGAAAATGGAAAAAAATAATCAAAAATGTCGTGTAAATTATAACTGGGAACACAAACAGCTCTTATAGTGAAAGTTATAGTCCGTGTGTTGCCATGGTGAATACTTTCCCATGGACTATCTTGAATCCGAAGGCAGGGACAGTCCAGAAGAAACTGTTCAATATTTTTACACGTAAGTTATGTAATAAAAGAAACCAGGTTTCTAAAGTTTAAGACTAAATAGCGTTGTACAATGTAAACGTATAATAAGGACATTGTCTGGGTTTCATAGTTTCTAAAAACATAGATTTGTAAACATGTCGAACTGCTGACACAGGGTACAGATTATGGTACAGCAATCACCTCCTAAACTTGTACACTTCCCAACCTCCTGCTTCTCTTCCCTTGAAGTCGAGATGATTATGTTGTTGGCCCAGTAAGTTACTTACAGTTACTATTAACAAAAGGCTAAAAAAATGGATGTAGCTCAGATGTACTGCATGTAGCTCAAGTATTTTGGATGTAGCTGAAGGATAATGTATGTAGCTCACGTACCGTCGTACGTACGCTTGTCTCGAGTTTCCTAGGTTGTCATTACCACGAAACTGGTTGGTTCTTATATTTAGTTGTCAGAGAAGAAGCAAATCACTGCCTAGATAACAGAGGAAAATAGAACAGGATGGTGAGTTGTTGGGAATTGTTTAATTACTGACTGTGTTGAAGACTATTCTGTTTAAGTACTGACTGTGTTGAGGACTATTCTGTTTAAGTACTGACTGTGTTGAAGACTGTTCTGTTTAAGTACTGACTGTGTTGAAGACTATTCTGTTTAAATACTGACCGTGTTGAAGACTATTCTGATTAATTACTGACTGTGTTGAAGACTATTCTGTTTAAGTACTGACTGTGTTGAGGACTATTCTGTTTAAGTACTGACTGTGTTGAAGACTATTCTGTTTAAGTACTGACTGTGTTGAAGACTATTCTATTTAAGTACTGACTGTGTTGAAGACTATTCTGTTAAAGTAATGACTGTGTTAAGGACTAATCTGATTAATTTCTGGCTATAGTGAAGGCAGTTCTGTTTAGTTACTGACTATAGTGAAGACTATTCTGATTAATTACTGACTGTGTTGAAGACTATTCTGTTTAAGTACTGACTGTGTTGAATACTATTCTGTTTAATTACTGACTATAGTGAAGACTATTCTGTTTAATTACTGACCGTGTTGAAGACTATTCTATTTAAGTACTGACTGTGTTGAAGACTGTTCTGTTTAAGTACTGACTGTGTTGAAGACTATTCTGTTTAAATAATGACCGTGTTGAAGACTATTCTGATTAATTACTGACTGTGTTGAAGACTATTCTGTTTAAGTACTGACTGTGTTGAAGACTATTCTGTTTAAATACTGACTGTGTTGAAGTCTTCAACACAGTCAGTACTTAAACAGAATAGTCTATTCTGATTAATTACTGACTGTGTTGAAGACTATTCTGTTTAAGTACTGACTATGTTAAGGACTAATCTGATTAATTACTGGCTATAGTGAAGACTATTCTGCTTAAATACTGGCTATAGTGAAGACTATTCTGTTTAATTACTGACCGTGTTGAAGACTATTCTGCTTAAATACTGGCTATAGTGAAGACTATTCTGTTTAATTACTGACCGTGTTGAAGACTATTATATTTAAATACTGACTGTGTTGAAGACTATTCTGTTTAAGTACTGACTGTGTTGAAGACTATTCTGTTTAAGTACTGACTGTGTTAAGGACTATTCTGATTAATTACTGACTATAGTGAAGACTATTCTGTTTAATTACTGACTGTGTTGAAGACTATTCTGTTTAAGTACTGACTGTGTTGAAGACTGTTCTGTTTAAGTACTGACTGTGTTAAGGACTATTCTGATTAATTAATGACTATAGCGAAGACTATTCTGTTTAATTACTGACTGTGTTGAAGACTATTCTGTTTAAGTACTGACTGTGTTGAAGACTGTTCTGTTTAAGTACTGACTGTGTTAAGGACTATTCTGATTAATTACTGACTATAGTGAAGACTATTCTGTTTAATTACTGACTATAGCAAAGACTATCCTGTTAAATCACTGACTATAGCGAAGACTATCCTGTTTAAGTACTGACTCTGTTGAATAATGGCTGGAGACGGCTTGAATGGGTAATGAAGAAAAACTTTAATATAAGTTTAACATAACAGCAAATGTAGAACGTTTCGACAAGGTTTTTATTCTTCAGCAGAGTCAGAGTACCTGAAGATGACTCCATAGCATTAGATTAGCTGTTTTACCAAACCGTTTCGGGTTTTTATGATAGTTAGAAGCACATATTTACATTATTTACTTATGTCTGTTTTAGTTCCATAGCATTAGATTAGCGGTTTTACCAAACCGTTTCGGGTTTTTATGATAGTTAGAAGCACATATTTAAATTATTTACTTATGTCTGTTTTAGTTCTATAGCATTAGATTAGCGGTTTTACCAAACCGTTTCGGGTTTTTATGATAGTTAGAAGCACATATTTACATTATTTACTTATGTCTGTTTTAGTTCCATAGCATTAGATTAGCGGTTTTACCAAACCGTTTCGGGTTTTTATAATTGTTTGAAGCACATATTTACATTATTTACTTATGT